CTAGATCTTAGTGACAACCAGCTAAGTGGTAACATCCCAGATTGCATCAACATGCTTGGTGAGTTGAGTTATCTTATCTTGAAGAACAATAATATAGAAGGTGATATCCCATCTCAGCTATGCAAGTTGCAGAAATTGAGTTTGATTGATCTATCTCAAAACCATCTTTTGGGCCGTATACCCTCTTGCCTAAATCTTACTACTTTTGATGAGCTATATGATATGGATGATAGTTTTGTGCCTATTCCTGGTGTATCTGTGTCATATTTGGAGAATACACTTTCTATTGGTGAACCAGTGCATTTCACAACAAAGAATATGGAATATTCTTACAAGGGGAAAATTCTCAGCTACATGTCTGGAATAGACTTTTCTTGCAACAAATTAATTGGTAAAATTCCTTTAGAAATAGGACATCTTAGTAAGATTCAAGTACTAAACCTGTCTCATAATATCTTGGTTGGTCAAATTCCATCTACATTTTCTAACCTTGTACAAATTGAGAGTTTGGATCTTTCCTACAACAATTTGAGTGGGAAAATTCCTCCCCAACTCGTTGAGTTATATTTCTTATCTATCTTTAGCGTGGCATACAACAACTTATCAGGCGAGATACCAGCAAGGATCTGTCAATTTGCAACATTTGATGAAAGTTGTTATCAGGGTAATCCTCTGCTTTGTGGGAAACCAATGAAAAGTTGCTTAGCAACAAGTCCACCACCAATGATCCAGGAAGGTCCAACCCAAGGTAGAGAAGATGATGGTTTCATCGATATGGGTGTCTTCTATGTGAGTTTGATTGTGTCTTACATAATGATGCTCATAACTATTGCCACAGTTCTCTACATAAATCCTTACTGGAGACAGGCATGGTTTTATTACACTGAGATGTGCTGCATTTCTAGCTACTATTTTATAGTCGATCATCTATCCAAGCCATGAAGCAATTTCATTAAAGAATGTATCCATATTATAGGTGTCATTTCTAAACTGTTCCTTCTTATTGTTTCCAATTCGGGATTGCAATGAAACGTCTTACATGTATGCTCTTTCAAGTAAATTAATAAGCAGAATTAGGGACCTAATTTGATGAGAGTCATGTCCCGAGGGAGAAATGATAGGAGTAATAACTATCAGTTATCTTTTATTAGGTAATTCAAAATAATGAAATACTTAAATTCATTAGTTGGAGTAATAAAAGGAATTGGATTAGAGGGATGATTATTGGTTATTAGTTGGTCAAAACATAAAAACAAAACAAAATTGAAAATTTACTTGAGAAGTTTGGGATACAGAGTTCTTATGATTTTATTAAAAAGAGAAAACAAAAAAAGTTTAGTGTAGAGTTTGTTGTGCTCTATGTATATATATATATATATATATTGAAGAATTTGTTTAAAAATTAATATTCAAATTAATAGTTTTTAATATTAATAATTGGATGAAAAGCTCTATTTATATAGATTGTACAAGTTAATTTTTTTTATTGCTTTAACACTTATAATATTTTAATTAATGAAATTCTATTTACTAACATATTTAATGGTGTTAAATTTTATATAATAATAAAATAATTAAATCTACTAAAATAATTTGAAAATTAGCATGCATGATTTATGTAAATAAAAACTTTAATTTAAAAGTTTAATTTTTCAAAAATTAATTAAAATATAAAATTTTAAACAAATCCTCTAAAAATTAAGAAACAAAATGCAAAACACTTAAAAAAAAAACCCTGTTGATAACTTCTATGAAAAAAGGAAAAATAAGGATGTCATTCTGTTAAAAATATTAAAATATTCACTTATCCTTATTAAATATATAAAATACAACATGATATTTAATTTTAACCTAGGTATTATATCACTATTATTACACCTGCTAGAATATTATAATTTCCCCTTTTGCCGACTTCCATAAACCTCCATTTTATTTAATTACACGGCGTCGTTTTCCATGATCCCTCTTCAGCCAAGGAAACGAAATCATCCATCCGGCAAACAAAGGTCATTTTCATTTCTCATGGCAATTTCCTTCTGCGTTTGTTCTACTCCTCGCTGGACCAACTCAAGTATTCCTTTAGGTTCCTTCTGCTAAAATTTAAACAATCAATCCTACTTCATTTTCAACGACATTTCATTAATCTCAATCTTATTTTGATTGAAATTTTCAGTTAAACAATGCAAATTCGTTGGTCAATCTGTGGTA